CAAATTTGCGTTGCAATGGCATCGAAATAGTACGAACTTCTGCCTTATTGAACCACTCGAAAACTGAATATGTTTGCATACGCGTGAATGCCGCTAAGTGTGTTATTAAGATGATGTAATAACCCATGAGCGACACTAGATGCCAACATTCATCGCTTATTGAATGCGAGGCGGGTAAACAAAATCATGAATCGGAAAAGGGAAATTAAAGTGATTCGTTAAAAGCGGATTAATCAAATTAGGGTGCACTTTAATACTGATGTTTAAAGGTAAATATTCCTTGAGGGGTGGATAACATTTTGAAATGGCTTCTGCGTTTTCATAGAGCTTGTTGGAAAAAACAGGACGAGTACGTTTAATTAGCAATAAAATCAGTAATTATCCTCCACAAACACGGTAACAGTGACCAGAAATAAACCGAAAAGAGGCGTGGCAAAGCGGCCATAAAACGCGGAACAAACAAAAGCCCGCTGGCCACGCCACAAAAGTCAGCTTAAAATAAATTTAAATTTTAATTTCAATCTCGGTTCTACTCGCTCGACAGCGCCGCGCACACAAAAGCCAACTGTGTTGGCCGCTATGAAAGTCTGTTACCCTTACCATTACCCTTTATTTTTGGGCCACCCCCTTAGCATCCCTATTCCCCATCCCAGGCCCTCTTTCCCTGGGAACCCTTGCCACTGCTGCGTAGACAACTTCCAGTGGCGCAGCTGCCATTTCGTGTGTCCGTGTGCAAGTGAGTGCGGTGTGATGGAAGCCATTGGCAGGTCCCTTGGCTTCCTCAAATCCTGCGTACGTCAAGTGTATCTGTGGGTCTGGGTCTGTGCAGGTTGCACATAAGGGTACACAGCGATTTAGACTACATTTTATTTCTATATTTCATAATTTTATACTTTTGGAGAAATAATGAAGTCCAAGCACAAAACCAAACGTCAGACAAAAGGTTCAAGCCAAAATAGCTAAAGGATAATTTAAATTTTATTATACATCTCTTTTTCCTTTACATTTTTTTATAAAACATTTAATATTTAAACTTTATTTTATTTCTTTGTTATGGGAATAACTTTCATATGTTAGCTTTTTGGGAAACTATGTTTTGCATGTGTGAAATAAGTGGAATAATCTCTTACTTCCTGTAATTATTATACAAATTTAAATAACAATAAATTTATTACAAAAGAAAGGACATGGTAAATAAAAAGTTCAAACGATTTTCATAAAAAGAAAAGTCAGTGTATCAGTTTCCTTTGGATATACCCTACAGAAATTTTGTGGCTGTGGGATTTCTGAGCGGCTTTTTATATATGCATGCAGGATGAATAAATAAAGGGAAGTGCTCTGCTCCGGTTCATTTATACGTTTTACCTTTTGGCTGCTGGTGTTCCCCTCTCAAAGCCACCCCCTCATGATATGACGTATACGCCGCGTTGTCTGACACTGAACGGCAGCCTTTTGATGCAATGTCTCCTGTGGGCAGTCGGGGCCGCACGATTTGCGTAACCGAGCACATGTTGAGTCATCCAGTGGGTGTTTGTGCTTGTGTATGCCATTTTGTGGGCGCGTTTGCCACAAAACAATTGCGAGACTTTAAGGATAATGGGCATACGGTTGAGTGCCATTAGACTGTAATTAACGAAGTTGCTTAATTTAACTGTATTTTTTATTCGTATCTTCTTGCCCAATATATTCCGATTTTCGTTTTGCAATGCTATCGATTTTCATTGTGGTTTTCCATTTTTACCTGCTGGCTGCAGCATTAATTGCTATCATCTAAATTCATATTTCCTGGCCCACAAAGTTGCGGCCAAGCTTGCTGGCAAAATCAACATTCCATAGTCGTGTGTTAACCTTTTTGCTTACAAATGGTCAATATGTAAATAGGCAGGCAATTAAAATGCTGGCAGGGTAAATTTTGTTAATTAGCCAAGGAAAAAACCTCTAATTGGCTTTGGCTATTGCAGGCTTAAAAGCTTTTTATGATACTGAGAGCAATTATTATTTTTTGTATTACAAAAGCCTTCAATCTGACCTTTTCGATTCTACAAAGTTCAGATCGGCTGTTTATTAATATTCTCTTTGCTTGACATAATGTAATGTAGCAAACTCCCTTGAAGGCACTTTCCTTGGTGCAAAAAAACTATTTAAATTTGTTTTTCCAAATCAAAATTGATTTATAATTTATATAAAGCAAAATAGGAGAATAGGGGCTAAAAGTTTATTTAATAAAATATTAAGAATTGTTTAAAGAAAAACTGGTTTCCTATCTAGTGACCCATTTATTTCGAATCCTAGTATCTCGTGGCTTGCCATTTTGTTTGTGCCAAAAATATAATAAAATTCAGAGCCAAGCAACACGTCAGCGTCAGCACATTTGGGCCAACTTTCAACTACACTGTAAATAGAGTGGCGATGTTTTTCCTATATACCTGGCAACTGGCTATGTTGGATCCCTGCATATGCCTTATACATTTTTCGCTTTTTTTTTTACTATTTTGGGGCGTTGCCGTGGCTGAGTTTTAATTAGCCCTGAGTGCGTGCTGGGCTGAGCCAAAAGCCGTACAAATTGTTATATAAACACATACACACGCCCAACAAAGTGTTTTGAGGGCCTAAAACATTGTCGCCACCAAATGAAGTTGGCCAACACGAAAACTACGCAGGTCACGAGGAAATTAGTTGCCCAAGGTGCTGTATAGTGAAAAGCTAGCAAGTGAAAAGTCTTGAAATGGCAGCGGAAATGAAATTAAGGGAAAGTGGGGAAAGGACGTGCCTGCAGCCCTGAAAGGGAATTTTTCTAACCCCACCCCCACCTCTTTATACCACCCTTTTTTCCATGGCAAATGTTAAGGTTGTATGTCCTTAAAGGCAAAAAAAAAAAAAAACTAATAGCGAAATGCGGGCGATGGCCTGCCCTTCTCATTTTGCATTTTTGTTTTGTTACCCTTTTTTAATTTGCATGTTTACGCCAAAATGGCATGCAAATGCTAAAGTAAAAGCAAAATGTTCATAAAATATGAGAAAAGGAAATTCCGTTAATTTTTATTTGCCTGAAAACATTTAAAGCAGCATTTATAAAATAGGGGAGTGCAGTTATACCTATCCAAAGGTCTGAAAAAATGAAGGAAATTTATATTTTATACTTTTCCCTATCATATTCTTAGCAAGTTGCAACTGGCGTTTTTGGTGCTCGTAAAACTGATTTTGGCCCGAAAAACTTGAACTTTCATGGCACGAACATGTTAATGAAAATGGAAAAAAATAGTTGAGTGGCAAAAGGAAAGAGAGGAAACTTCAAAAGGGGGCTGGGCGAAATACTGCAACATTTCCCTTGATAAGACCAAAGTTTCCTGCGATGGCTTTCACGACATTTAATATATACAGGCATGTTATTTGGAGAAACTAAGACAATAAGAAGCCCGCATATAAAACTGATATTCATATTATTTAAATACATATTATTTAAAAAGTAACTATGGAGGGAAAACCTGAGAGAACTTTGCAATACAGATGGTTAGGTCTTCATTCATATAAATATAAGCATTTTATTAATATTTCCCTCTTGTTTCCCTCTTCATACACTTGGACACATTTTGCAGCTTTACTTAGCATATAAATTGTAATATTTGTGTATATTCAATATGGATTAGTCTTAAGTCCGGTTATGCATAATATGTTATTCACATGTTCCTTGCAGTAAATCCGTCTCTAAACCTAAGTTAAGATAATGCTGTGCAATGAGCAAGTAAGAGCGAGTTCAAAATGGTATCTCGACCAGAGAAAAAAAGTGCGAAAATGTAGCCTAGTAAAAATGATTAGCTGATTTATTCTATGGGTGTATGTTTGCAATTACATAATCTAACGACACGGAGAGTATTTACCAAAGAAATAGTTCACTTCCAAGGCCAAGAATAAATAAAACGAGGAGCTGCAGGAATTCATAAGGAGATCAAAATAAATTCAAGACAAAAAATAATATGAAATATATATGTGTGAGTTTAGAGTTTAGACGCTTTTTGATACCCCAAATGGACATTAGCTAGGCAAAAGGCAGAATATGCATTGAAAATTTTATAGAGAACAACGCAGCTTAGGCAAAACATACATATAAATATTCAAAATAAATATTTCGTTTATATTGTCATAATCCCGCAAGGAAAGCAAGCAAGCACAGCTCCAACTGTAAAAGAAACATGTCGATGGATACACCCAGACAATACGCCCAAAAGTATGCAATTTGATTGTGCAGATAGAATATTTTTTAAATATTTATAAGCCAGAGATTGAAATATTTGTAAAACATATTTTAATAGACACCGAAAAACCAAAGGACAAAACTTTTTGAAACATATTTTTTTATATACAAACAAGAAGAGGAAAAAAGTTGAACACTGCGAATATGCACAAAACATATATCTTTCGGATAACCCTAGCCTAAGTTAAACAACATTTGTAACATTTTCCGTTTAGAAGTTGACAAATTTACTTTCGATGGTTTCACAACAACAACAGTTATTTTAAGCCGTTTCGTATGCCATTCGGTTGAAGCTTAAGCAAGTAATCCAAAGTACAATCATTTATGTCAAACAGGACAACACACCACAAACACACCAGATATTGGGCAAAACCATTCTGAGATAGAGTTACGAAGCGTTAAGGTTCAAGAGTCGTTTTTACAGGGACAAAAAACGGAACACTTTTTGCTAACAAATTTTTTTAAATTCGTTTTACACACGCTTTATAAGATTGGTAGACGACTTCAGTATAGGCAGCTAAAAAGTTTTAGTTCTAAAACCAAAAAGACAATTAGAGTACAATTGTAAAGTGGACAAAGTCAGTGTATAATTTATTTAAAGTAAACTTGAGCTTAGGTCTGTCGGCAAAACAACTGCAAAACCGAATGTAATCCCAGAGAGAGTCCCCTGTATTTAGTTTGTAACTAGAGGTAAAGCTCCCAGAACCCAAATCCAAACCTAAGCCCGCTCCCTCACTCCTAAACCAAGATGTATGCAGCTGCTGGTGGCGCCTCGCTGGCTTCCCGCCAGGCGCGGCAACGCCAACGCCAGCAGAAGAAGACCCAACAACTTCAGGCGAAACTACATCCACCGAAGGCGGCCGGAGCCGCCGGACTCCTTTCCGGCGATCATGCCGCCGAGGGCGCATCCACGCCCACTCGCAGCCAGTCGCGCCAGTTCCATCAGCTGCCCACAAACTATCTGCGTGCCCCGCAGCCCCATGGACGTAAGCTCAGCGCCACCTATACGACGCAATCGAAGCTCCTACTGCCAATCGAGGAGAGCGACACCCAGTCGGTGTTGCAGTTGCGCATGCACTCCCACGCCCATTCGCACGGCCATGCCCACGCGCACGCCCATTCTCACTCTCATGGACCCGCCCACGCGCCTGCGCATAGCCATCATGGGCAAACGCCCTACCAGCAGTTCGCCTCATCCCACGGACGCGTCTCACCGAAACTGGTGCATCGGCATTCCGGCAGCAGTGCTGGATTCCATCCGGTAATCTCCGCCGGACAGCTGCACAAATCTGCGACGGCCACGTTGCCGCTTGTCTCCCATATGGAAGCGGAGGCGGCGGCGGCGGGGGCGGAGTCGCCATCGGCCGTGGCCGGCGTTAAAACGACAGTGACCTCGTTGGAGACAGCCACGCCCACGTCTCCGCCGCTGGCCAGCACTTCTGCTGCCGCTGCCGCCGCAATGGCGGCCGAGGCGGAGGCAGAGTTAGCTGGCGCCGGCGCCATGTTTGTTCCCCACCATGATGCCATCATTGTAACGCCGGCCACGCCTATGGCCTCACCGGGCCATGTGGCCAAGCTGCGTCGTCCCGGTCCCGAGGAGCTGTTCGAGGCATCCGCCGAACGACAGCCGCTCACCGCCGGCGAAGCGTTGGACGACGAGGATGAGCCGATGCATCCGCCAGCACCAGGCCAGCTGGAGCGTAAGTGCAGCGTCTACAGGATGCGGAGGAGCGATGCCTTTGAGTCGGATACTGGTGGTGGTCTCAAGCGGCAACTGCGGGAGCTTCAATTTAGCGCCGGAGTCCAACAGACGCAGTACGAACCGCTGCTCGCCGATGAACCGCAGCTGATCTTCAAGGGACTTGGGGTCAATGGGCGCAAGATGCAGATCTGTGCCTACTGCGAGGAGGGCATCTGTGTGTGCGAACATCTCGAGGTAATTCCGGGCCGATCCTGGCCACCCCTAAATCCCGATGCTAACTGAGATCCCAAATCCCCGATTTTGGACTATGCTTGCTTATGTGTCTTATGCATGCCCGATAATTTTATAATCCGTTTATGAGTGTTATGATTTGAATGATTCCCTGAGTTTCGCCCAGAAAGTATTGGTGTAATGGTTAGCTTATCATATCGTATTTCTTACATTGTAATTATGAGAGATCTTGGAATAATATCTATGTCTATATGGTGTGTTAATAATTTGATAATAATTTGAAATTAAGATAATCAAATAATATATTGAGAGGGATGTATGCTGTTAGCCAAAACATTTCTTTACCAAAATGGCTTACGTAATTTTTCACCCATCTATTTTGTATTATTATGTATAGCATTTATGTATTATGGTCTGAGTGACTCTTTGATCCCTTGGGTACTTATGTCTGTGATGTGGGTAACATTTTTCGTTGATTTCCGGAAATTTGTGGTCTAAAGGTGTGGGAAAATATATTTCACGATAATACTTTATGTGCCTATTCTTATTTAATGGAAATTTCAAATATTTTTTCATTTTGATTTTATTACTCAAGCAAATATGGAAACGGTAAGAGTCTCCATATGATGTCTTCTACCATTTCGCTAATTTTGAGCATTGACATTAGGATATTAACATACTGTAAGTTTGACCAACTCCTATAAGACAGTTTCTTAGGAAACACTTTCAATAAAGTTATGACAAAGAGATATTTGCATTGTCGTACAATACAAAATTTAAAATATTCTATCCAGGCTGTTCAAGTAGCTTTGACAACCCACAACCCACACCCACACTGCTAAACATATATGGCATCTCTAATAAGGACAAGTAGCTTTTGGCAGGAGTCAACAAGCTCGATATGTCCGTGCAGCTTTCCTCTCGACTAGCCCCATTTCGAGGCGATGCCATAACGGCGGCATCGACAAGGAAAATGGTTGGACCTGGAAAAAAGGTCCAGGGAAGAAGGGCATAGCGGACTGCAAGTACATGCATAACAACAATCCGAGAATCGGAAGCGCATAATGTGCCTTTGTATCGGCCTGATAATGCTGTGCCCGAAAAAAAAGCTTGGCAGGCCCAGCTCCGCCAGGTCACCTCCCCCAACTGGCGCCGTTTGCCAAATGTTGTGTAAAAGGCTAATGGCAACACTGAATGTGTGCCATAAAAGTGCAAGGTGGCAGCGGGCGCAACTTAAAGGTTTCCTTCTCCTTAAAGTTCTTGCCACAGAGTTTGCCAACTTTCTTCTTGGATCACGACTCACTTAATGGGATCTCTGGATGAGAGGCGGTAAATTAAAAAACTTAGCACTGCGCTATTATTTAACTTGCATAAGCAGCGTATCAACTGTAACTATATGTATGTCTTTATGCGGAATAAAGCACAAAACTTGCACAAATTAAACAAAACGTGCGCACAAAAGAAAATCTCTGTAAGACGGAAACGGCGGGAAAAATAAGAGAAAAACCATTTCAACAAAACAAATAAATTCCACTGAATCGACTCTAATATTCTCATTAGGTGTTCGTAAGGTTTGTTGGACTGCCAGACTATGACAAGAACTTGGTGTTATATGATTTATAAAAATATTACAATTGCGTTTCAATAGAGTATATAATTTAGTGGAGTTATAGGAAATTTTCAAAATATTAAAAACCTAAATGAGATAAAAGTGTTTTTTTCAAAGCCATTTTAGGATGGGGATTATCGACAAGCAAATAAGACCTAAGCATAAGTAACCCAATTTAAATCTTCTTTATCATTAAAAACACTTTTTGTATTATTATAAACCGTAAACCATGAGCACGATAAGATGATCATACCTCTGGGGTTTCAGTGCCAGCACACATCCACAATAAGTCTTGGTACCCCGCATTCTCGGCAGGAACTGGGTGTAAAAAACTTGAAGGGCCAAAGGGAAAGTGGAAAAACGAAGAGAGTAAACAGCAAAAGCGACTGGCGGCGGCTGAAAATTTATTATATTCCCTGGAACCCACGCCAGCGTCATTTCTAGTCTCCATTTCTGCCACTCGAATCGCTAAGAGAGACATGGATTTTTCCCATTAGTATGTGTATGCGTTTCCGTGCATATAAGTATACGTATGTATGTATTGTGTGCATTCCCGAGCGCCTTGTGCACAAAAACAACGGCTAGTAAATTAGCTGGAAAATAGAGAAAAAAGTATGCGGCAAAATGGCGGACGCCAGAAATGCGCAAAAAATATCATCATCGCCATTTGTCCCACCGCCCACGTCGACGCCCACACCATCGCATTTTCCCATTCCTCGCCCCGTGCGAAAACTGTGAAATGAAAATGAGCGGCGAAAGACTTGTAATAAAGGTGGAAATAAACGTGCTACCGGGCGGTGGGCTGTCTAGGATTTATGAATAAGCAAAATGGCGACATTGAGATAAATAACTGCATTAGCATTAATTGCCCACTGGACATGTTTGTGCGTGTCTATTGCAGGGAATTTAGAACGGATTTAGTGGTAGCGTTTTGTAAAATAACTGCAGAGATGGGAATTACAATGTGCTATCGAATATTTACGTTGTGTGCTTTTCTAATCGAGGATGAAAGAGAAACTCAATATTTACTTTTCCTAAACACAAACTTTTTACATACAAAGAATGTACTCAGTAATATGAATTTAATTGGCCATGTTGTACATTTTACTACCGTTTAACAATTATATGCTATTGCAATCTAGATTGCTCAATTATCTAGCTCAGACAATGCTCAAATTAATTGAAAATCCTTGTCAAGGACAGACTATTAAACCAAATGCGAATCAGCTCGTTTGGTGCAATCAAGGATTCGAGGACGTTCGGTTGTGATTATTTCAGTTTGATGAATCAAATCGCTTACACCCAAATGAACAAGATGGCTTGATTTACACAGCCGCTTGGCTGCAAGTCGTCCGTCTTGGTCGTAATTTAATTTCAAATTACACGAGATGTCTGCCAAAAAAAAAAAGGAAAAAAGTGCAACGCTGGCGATTGTTGCTGCCTCAGAATGCAGCCTCAATAATTACTCAAACTGTCGCCCGAATCCGGCGCCAGCTTCCTTTTGCCCACTCTATATCGGAGCGGAGACATCCTTTTGGCCCATTTTTCCGAATTCTCGGCGGTTGCCTGGTAATTGTTTGTCAGGCACGTCGGTCTTGGCCAGTTCTCGTAATTGTAACTGACATATTGCCAGTCCACAGTCGCACTCTCTTCTCTTCATGTCGACTTTTCCCAAAGCCATCTCGCAAATAAAGTGGTAATCATCCTTGTGGACAAAAAAAGGAGAGCAAAAAAGATCCGACCAAACCAATGACAGTTGCTTGTTTATTGCATACTTTGCGGCGGCTTCATTGAATTATTGTTGCATAATTCATTCACTTGAATCGAAAACTCACACACACACACACACACGCATACAAAGTGAAAAGGAGAATGTAAGAATTTCTTCTCGTTTATTACGAAGCCGCATTTAAATTAATTTTCGATTTTGGCTCGATGCTTTTTTTCTGTGTTTGCTCATACCCATTCAGCCAACATTTATCTTCGAAGTTTGGCCAGCGTTGTTGTTGATTGTTGCCGCTGCCATCGACAATAAAAATCATTTAAAAAGACACAAATTATTCTGCACAATGTGCACAGCTCCAAAATTGCTGGGACAGCTTTATGGCCGGACTCCCAAAGGGGCTTTTACTACAGTAAAATTGTAAAATAGATTCATGCAAAGTTGAGCCTCATGACAAAAATACATTTTTCGATTTAATATGGCCACAAGTTGACCAATATTTAAGCATGAGGAGGGGACCATTTAAATGACTACTTACAGACTAAATTAGGTAACTAATGGGTATTCTAGTCATACATATATGTGCTGTAGTCAGTCATAAATTTTCCAATTAAATCTAAAATGTTATTCTTTACTATACTTTCCCAGACTTCTTTTACATTTTAAAACATAGACCCTGTAACTTTCTTTTAATCATTATAAAAACGTGACCGCAAATTAAAAGTCGATTAAGCCTACCCCCGCATCGAAAAGCTCAATAACTTATGCTCAATTAACACTGGTTAGCGGTTGGCCAGGTTAAATTTACCTGCCAATTTCGAGCAAATAGCAAACACCAAACAGTGGGCACGCAGGCTACACACACTCAGTCGCTCGGATGGCTGTCAACAATCAAATAACATGACTCTCAACGAGGACAGTTGCCATTTCTCACGGCATGTGGCATATGCAAATTCCGTTTCCTCGTCGAGGGGCGCCTCGTTCGCCTTTAATTACCTGCAGACAAGGTAGATACTCGACTGCCACTGCTACACCACTGCCACCAGGTGAACAAGTCAGCGGGCGTTGTGCCAAAAATTCACCAGATATAGGGTTCGGCATTCACATTAATTAACCTGAGATATATGCACTCACTAGAGTTCCACCTGAGCAACAGTCGATTTGGGGCTATGTGGTTGGCTACTTGGTTGCGGTTTTTATGGGCCACTTTCGTGCCTTCTATTTTCCAACATATTGATTTGCCAGGCCTAGCACTCTGTCCACACTGGCGTCGAAATGTGAAAGTTGAATTTCCATAAGTTCAAACATTATAATGTTCTATAATAGACTGCATACCGGCAGTGAGCGAAAGGTAAAAGGTTAAACTTTCGTGATATTTTGCAAATGAGATGATTTCATTAGCGAAAAAAGGATTCATATGATCCTTATGTAACCCTCCTTAAAAATATTGCCTCACAGAAAAGAAAGTCTTTAGGTAATCATAAAGAATTTAGTTTCTTATATTATAAGATTGAGGATTTGAATCGATGTACAAGGTCAGTAAATCCATTAGGCGACTATTAACAATATCTCCACAGCTGTTATACAGAAATATTACCTTGCATGCAGCATATAATTGATGACATTTTATAATTGAAAGAGTCGAGTTAAACTATTATCGACCATCTATCA